CACGATGTTTTATTTCTAAACAAATATGCATGGAACTATAAAAATTTTGGTAGACAGATGGAAATCATTATCGTAATATATTAATTAAACTAGGGGCACAAAATAGAATCGCACAATAGTGGAACGTGAATGTTTCAGTTCTTTATCTCATCATCTTCTCGATCCGATACGTGACCTGGCATTTATGGTCCACCCCACTTAAAGAAGAGGCTCTCAACACTATCATCACCATATCCATGCACGCCATCTTTTTTCACACTCCAAACACACTTTTTGCAACGGGTTTCGTCTCCTCTGTCCATAGAGAAGATGTCAAAAGTGACACTCTCGCGTTCCCACGAAAAACCACAGAAAAAAAGTGTTGTTTTCCAAATATTAGGGCGGAACTTCCATTGATAGGAGCTTCCAGGAGACAACACGTGAAGACCAAGATCATCGTCCTTTGATTTACAATGAAAGCTTATGCTCGTCCCGTCTGTCATGTTGTTGAAGACGGTAATTTTTACTGGGTCTCCAAAAATATTAAATTTGGATTCATCAGATGGGGCAGAAAAAACAAGCCCACTGTATAGGACAATGAACAAAGCAAACATTACTAAACATTTGTTGAAAAAACCCATCTTCGGATTTTGAAATTGTGAGGAGATGCATCTTGTGTTTGCAATCATATATATATATATATATATACACTCACGCGTGACAATGATATGCATTTTATGCTATTTAATATGTGATTATCCTTTATTAAAAAATTATGGCATTTTATTCTCTGAATTTAATTCCTTGATCAAACAAAATCACGACTAAGATCCTTTGTTCTTTAATTTTAGTTGATCAACCTACCCTAAGAATTAGCTTGCCACATATAGTATATATGATTTTATCAAATAATTTTATTTAGAGTATATTACTCTTCGGATTTTTTTTTTTTTTCAAATAGAATGGCAAGTGAGGTCCAACTTCTTTTTATATTCAATTGGTCAACTTAATTACTTTATCCTTTTCCTTGAATTTAATGTGTCCAAATCACATGCCATAATATCATATTTTTAAGCATTTTCTCTGTAGATACTTAACTTCTTTATAAATAATAGATATATGTATATATATATGTAGTTAACACATTTTCGTTGTAGACATGTTTCCTTCTTTATCAATAATTCTTAATATTATGGAAGTGGTCCGTAATTGTTGGGATTATTCAAAGGAAAAATTCAAAAGGTGCAAGTTATTTAAAGTCTTCTATTAAATACTAAAAATATTATTTGATAAAAAAATATAAAAAATAAAGCAATATTATAGAAGTAGGTTTTAATTGTTGGGAAAATTCAAAACGGACATTCAAAAGGTGCAAACTATTTGAATTATTCTATTAAATACTTAATCTATTATTTGATTAAAAAAAATAGGGTGAACTACATTAAACCCCCATTTTCTATTTTTTTTGTCAAAAAACCCCCCTCAATTATTAGAGATGTGTGATTTAACTAACTTCCGTAAACTAACTATTTGAGGGGGGTGATTTAATTCTCAAATATATATATATAGCAAATAAATTTCAAAAAAAAAAAAACCTAGATTTATAATGGCAAAAAATAAAATAAAATAAAATTAGGCATTATTTCTAGTATGTCCCTTTAATAAATCTATATAAAATGAAAATCAATAAAAACCAAATAAATGAATGCACAATATAATTCTTAAATATATATATATATATATATTGCAAATAAATTTCAAGAAAAAAAACCTAGATTTATATTGGAAAAAAAAAAAACCATTGAAACAACATGTACTCTTCTTCTTGTTCAACTTCTTTTATTACCCATCATTAATATATTATATATAATTTGTATCATAATATAATGGTATATATAATATGTATAATTGAATATTATTTAAATATATTTTCATTTCCATCTAGACTTCAGACCAATATAAATCTAGGTTTTTTTTTTAATTTAGGAAAAAAAATCTAAGTTTTTTTTTTTTTTCTTGAAATTTATTTGCTATTTATATATTTGAGAATTATATTGTGCATTCATTTATTTGGTTTTTATTGATTTTCATTTTATATAGATTTATTAAAGGGACAGAAATAATGCCTAATTTTTTTTTTCCAATATAAATCTAGGTTTTTTTTTCTTGAAATTTATTTGCAATATATATATATATATATATATTTGAGAATGAAATCACCCCCCTCTAATAGTTAGTTAACGGAAGTTAGTTAAATCATCCCCCACTAATAGTTGAGGGGGTTTTTTTGACCAAAAAAAAATAGAAAATGAGGGTTTAGTGAAAAACACAGATAAAAAAAGGGGGGTTTAATGCAGTTCTCCCAAAAAAAATAAGAAAAATTCAAAAGGTGCAAGTTATTTAAATTCTCAATATTCTCCCTAAAAAAATATATATTAAAAACATTTAAAACAATTTAATACAATTTAATAAATGAAAGGAAAAAACTTTATTACTTTATTCTTGCATTTAAAAAATATAAAACGTATTTAAATTATGCTTCGTTAAACTTGCTCTCAATCAAAAAATGCAATTGTCCATTTGCAGAGTAGATTGCAAAGGATTGGAACCTACCAAGCTCTTTTTATGAAGCATCCCACTCCAACGCATTTTAATAGGCCATTCAAGGTTGTTGTGGGCTTTCTGCATAGTAGGTTATGCCCCACTTTAATTTGTTCGTATATTAATTTAAGTAATTTATTAACATATTTACAAAAAAATAAAAAATACTCCAATCGTTCCTGAAAAAAAAATAATAAAATAAAATAAAAATAAAAAGTTACTAGATGATTGACATAATATTATTGGTAGTTTACTCGATATTAACCTAGCTAACTTGTGTCACTTTGAAAGTTTGAACCAGAAATAAAAATTACAAAAAAGTTCCTCTTTATTTTTACGTTTTTTAATGCCACAACAATGCCTTCGTCTTCTCTCTATAAGAAAGAATTATATGTAACCCTATATATATATATATATATATATATATATATTTCTTGTCTTGGACCATAACTCTACCGTGCTTTGATTTTACACTATATGTATACATACAAAAAAATATATATGTTACCTTCTGAATATATATATATATATATATATATATATATATATATATATATATATAGAATAATGATTAATAGGGTTTACTTTGAGGGTGAGAGAAAATGATAGTTTTTAAACTTTCTTTAAATTAGTTGACGTGGTTAACACAAGCCGTAAATAAATGTCATTCTGTAGTGAATTCAACTTAGGATAACTTAGAGAATATTTAAGTTAGAGGATCCAAGTTATTTAATTTGCACATTCATTTTGGCATGAAATATTCCTCCAATCGTGGGAATGAGCAAGAGGAGAGAGAGGGAGCGATCTTTTTCCGGAAAAAGATCAGAAGAGAGAATGACGTTAACGTGGTTAAAGTATAATGATTGTTAAAATATAATGAATTTTTCTTATTTTAAAACGATGCAATTTTTAAATTTTGGTAATTTTTTCTTATTTCAAAACAGTACAATTTTGAAACTTTCTTTAAATTAGTTGACTGTTTAACACAAGCCGTAAATAGATTTTAAATGTCACGTATCAATGATAATTCAATTTAGGATAATTTTTTTAAAAAATTTACCTTAAAAAGATTGGAGTCTTACTCCAAGAAATTTAAGTTTTTGATCAAATAATATCGCAAGTCAGGCCCAACTCCTTTTTATATTAAGTTGGCCAGCTGACTTGACGGGTAATTAGAGTAATTAAACACTTTATCGTTATCTTTGAAATTAATGTTATCCACGTGTCATAAAATGGGATTGGGATCCTCTCCTGCAAAATCACATGACCTTGTGACTCAAAATTTGAAGGCAATCACTTAATTAATTAAGGCAGTATTCGACCATTCTTTTAATTAAATAGCCTGTTTTATTTTTGAAATATTAATCAGCACCTCAAAATAAATCAATGTCTGAGAGAACAATGTGTAATTTTATATGTATATGTGTGTGTGTTTTGATTCACAAGTGTATATTTTAATTCTTATTTAAATTAAATTGATACATATGAGTTTAGGTTCAATGCCTCAAACGTTATACTTTTTAAGCACATCACATAACCTCTTCACGGGGATCTAAGTACCATAAAATCATCTTTATTTAATAATTTCCTCCTGCATTTACACTGTTACTAATTTTATTAAATCGTTAAGGGTAAAATCCATTTGCCATGACAAAATATTACAGAAATAGTTCCCAAAGTATTTTTGCGGAATTTTCATGTAAAGGAGCTACAACAAATTCGGTCTTGTGTGCTTTCTTCCACCCGTTATATATATATATATATAGCCATAATATGTATAGATGGAAAAATGTAGACATGTAGATTATATATGTTGTTGCAAGATATTTGATTGGAAGCGGGTTTAATTTCAAAGTCAGGAATTTATTTTGTACATATATTTTAGTAACACGAAACACTAAACAAATTTATAATTAATTTTATTACAAGATAAAATAAAGTTATTGGATGACTGACATAATATAATGAGGATATACATACTTCTCATCCCTAAACCCCTAATTTGAACAATTCATTGTGATTTGAACTAATAATGAATTAATACGACTTGTTTAATTATTTAATTATCAAATCATATATAAGAGGGCACATATTCACTTACTAAATCAAAATCAGATATGATAATTTGTTATTCATCTGCATCAATGATAATGGTCCTACGGTGTACAGTAGTAAGCATCTAGTCCAGTATTATTAATTACTATGACGCTTTGAAATTTTGAACTAAACTCATAGTAACTAATATCCAGAGATCATAGAAATTGAAAACATTTTGGAGCAAGCTATACACAGCCCAGGTATTGTAGCTATCATTGGAAAAACGTTGCAACATAAACTGTAACAAATTTAGTTCAAACCAGAGTTTATCAAACAAACTGTCCATATACTTCTACATCAGGTTTAGCACATCTTTCTTCGGGTTTTTTTTTTTTTTTTTTTTTTCATTTTATTTATTTTTAGTACATTCATGTCATATAAACGTGAAAAAAAAAAAAAAAAAAAAAAAAAAAAAAAACAGGCTTGATATCGACATTGACGGTGCTTCTCACATTCGCGCTTAATATTAGAGCCCATAAATTCTTCTGACCCCAATTTTGGATCGGCATAGGAGAAGATGCATGGTGTAAGAGGTCATTTCAGCAGCAATAAAAGCAGATTCAATTCTTGGTCATGATGCTCAGCGTTGGTCCTGCCATTGCGGATTGCTGACGAACAGGGAGGAAAAGATGTTCAACTGTTATCATCTTTCCACAAGTCATGATAAATATGAATCCTAAGAGAGCCTCTGCGAGCAAAAAAAGATTGTTACCTCTCTACGTCGTTTAATACAAAAAAAAAATTTAAAAATTAGGCATATGCATGGAGTCCACTTCTCCACGATACACACCAGATATGTAGGCCATCCCTCTTTGAAGACAACACCTGCAGCTAGATAGGCCCAAAGCAAAATGAGAGAAGCAATTGGAAGAATATATATATAATTTGAATTATGTCAATAAATACCTTCATTACAATGGGGAAAATATATGGACAAGTGTATGATGCACCGACATCCCCCTTCACTTGGCCAAACCCAGAGCATTCTGTTCCGCACTTACCAACAATATGTGATAAATCATTTCAAAGCAGCACATAGAAATCGGAACGCAATCTTAGATGCAGGTTGAAAGCCTAAACTGATGTCGCAGTCCTGAATGCAACCGGACAGAAATTTAGCAGGGAGAAAAGAAAAACATATTCATAGAAATCAATCCAAAACATATTTTAGCAGATGTGGAAATGTCTGGGTTGATTCTACGCTGCTTAAATGCATGCTTAATCTATTAATTACTCCTTGAAATAAAAAGCATTTGGTGGCCGGTGTTTAACAGATTTAGACAATGAATATTCAAACCAAGGAGGGAACTGAGACCTAGCTATGTGGGTGAGGATCCAATATATGATCACCAAGAATCCAGAGTGTTTTAAGGATTTAATGTAAGCAAAATAATAGTCTAACAATAATTAATCATTTAATTAAACCTAGAGGCTAGATCAATGGTTATCCATATTTTTAAGAGAAATTGCACCCTATTTAATAGAGGTGCATTATACCATATCAATTCTTAAAGGTGTTTTAATTTAAATGAATAGTCACGTATAATATGAAGAGTTGTGTTGATTGATGGAACTAGCACAACTCTTAACGTCTAATGGAATAGTCACAACCCTCGTCTATACATGAGAAAGAAGTCTAGAGTCCATCATCCGATTTAGAGAAAAGATTAAAGGGTTGAAGGCCATCTCCTATCTGAATACGGAAGGCACGCTTCCACAAAGGTCGATTCTAGTTTCCATATTCAGGTATGTCTCCTATCAATTTATGCATTTAGTCCATGACTTCTAGTTATGTTGAAATTACATTTAATTCAAGCCTCACCACCACCCTGATAATTAATATTGAATTATCAAATGATTGGCTTTGTTCTATCTCCTATTTAATGTTCTAAGTAAAATTTTTGAAAAAAAGATTGATCATGCTACTGATTGATGAAATATTTTGGGTCAAAATATGGATATGATTGTTTATGCACCAAAGGCAATAACTCGACATGGATGCATGGTGGAGTGGAAAACCTGAGGTTTGGTTTACACAAACTTGCTGACTGGCTGCTTTAATTCTTGATCCCACATTCTCAAACTTGTCAGTCTTAAACACTGGAGTCTGGACCAAGTAATGACCCCTACTAATGTTTTATGTACTTGGGTTTAAATACATTTAATTTAGTTATACAATATTTAGTAGCTCAAAAGTAAACACAGCTCTCCTCAATTGGCCACACAACATATTCCTATGAGAGTGACTATTTTCAATTGAATATTAATTAGGCTAATATATATTTATCAATTTAAATCCAAATATAATTTCATGTCTGAAATTATATTTCATGTATTTACATATTTCTATTTCTTTTCCTGAATATGTATTTACAAATTTCCATTTGATGTTCATTCATATTTCCAGAAACACTTCAATTATGGCCCATTGAAACAATACAAAAAAATAAGTGAAACAACCTCTTATGAGTTATACTACCTATTATGATTGAGAAGCTTACAAGTTAGCAATGTTCCCATAGCTAAAGTCTGACAAAGCACTGAATAATCACGTCTAAAAATGAATGTGTATTGTAAATTACCAACATACCCTCTCCATGAAAGACTCGGGCATTGTGGCTTCCAGTATGGCAGACCCCAATGACTGACATGCCATATAGAACGTGGATATGTGGATTCTCATTTTATACGCAGATCCTTTTGCAGGCCAAGTCCCCTATTTCAACTGAAAAACGTATTCACTGGAGAGATTAAATGATCTAACATGCAGTAGTAATTCTAAAAATTGATTTGCATGCTGAAAAAACAAACATGATTGATAAATAAATAAAACACATAAAATCTCTCAAGGGGGATGATCTTAGAGGCACAAACACTTCCTATATCGAAAATTTTCGAACACTCCTCGACATGTGTCTAACCTATCACAAGTCCACAATTTAAAACATAAAATTCTCAGCTTTGAACATACAGCCAACACTTCTTGCACACACGCTACATGTGACCAACAAATCTTGGAAATTTGTGATCTAATTTCTCATAAAATAAAACAAAAAATTTAACATTATTTTTAATAAAAAATAAATTAGAAGTTCATAGAAGATCTAGTATAAATTTTGACCATAAGTTTTTCAAGAAGTACTATGAAGTTTTATCAAGGTGGCATGGAAGAAGTATCATAATTATATGCTTAGATATATACTTCAATCTATATAAGAAAACATATTGAGAATATCTATCTCATCTTTGATGATATGAAGTTTTATCAAGGTGGCATGGAAGAAGAAGTATCATAATTATATGCTTAGATATATACTTCAATCTATATAAGAAAACATATTGAGAATATCTATCTCATCTTTGATGAGTCTTTATCAATGTGCCATGAACGATTATTGAATAGTCACAAGTTATAAATGTCATGTTATGGCCACATAATATCATATTAAGTAATAAAGTAATTTTTGTTGTGTATTTCATAATCTATATATAATCATATACTCGTGTATTGCATATTTTAGGATTTTCTGTTTAAGCATGTCTGTATCACTGCATGCTCGTGACCAGTCCCAGTGTCACTATCCATACTTCATATGAGATAATTTTAGTATCACCATGTGATGCAATTTTCAATTGGGGAACCATCACCATTTAGTTCTTTCATAAACATTCTTGATTCCTAATTGCCTAACTTGCGACCCAATGGTCAAATTCAGTTTAGTTTAACAAATGCAAGAACATGTTCATCAAGGCACAAAAATTAGCCTAGACCAAACTTAAAACAATATGTGATCAGGGCCCAGCATTTAAAGAATTTATCCAAAGAAACCCTACTAGCAAAATATAAAAATGAGAGGGTCCTAAGATTTCATATTCATAGACCATTCAAACTAAGCAAAATAAAAATGAGAATTATATATAGAACAATCCTGGAAATTTTGAGTAGAAGGATTTTTTATGAATATCTTTCATTCATTATGCTCAAACAGGTGTCATTTGAACTATGCAATCGTACATGGAATGATAAAATAGAATTTAAAACTCATGATTTTGTCAGGACGCTGAAAGAAAACATAATGGAGAATGACAAAAGAACTCCAAAGGGAATGCAAAACAAAGGGAAGCTGTGAGGAGTGTAATGAGGAAGACCACAAATTTTGAAGAGACTAAAAAGTGCAATATTGAGTTAGTGATAAGCAAGGTCATTGCCAAGACTGAAATATGTACAGGAGACCTCTATGTCAAGTAAGAAGTTGGAAGTAGAAGCAGCAGTACTTGTCTAAAGAATGAAAAAAGGCCATAATAGAGAATGTTCTCTCTAGCTTTAACAATTATTTAGTGTTAACATCTACTTAGACAAACTGAGCAATCTCAGAAATTTCTTGTGGGGAGGCAAGGTGAGGAGCTCAAATATCACTTGGTTAATTAGAGAACTGTCACTTTGAAGGGAGATTTGGGTATCAGGAGATTCAAGCAACTAAATTAAGATTTGTTTGGTGACGACAAAGATATGCATTAGAAGTGAGATGCTCGTGGAGACGGGTGGTAAGGGGAAGTTTTGAGTAGATAGAAATAGGTTCTGGGGTGAGACCAGGAAGGGTATTAAGAAAGGATGGGAAGATTTCTTTTTAGTATGTAAGCTTTTCTATGGAGGTGGGCCTGAGAGAGAGGTTCCAACATGATGTTTGGTAGTTTGGTACCAGAATTCTCCTTTGAGACAGATGATTATGCCCTTGTATAGCATTGCTTGCAATGAAGTGGCATATATACAGAATATCTGTCTCCCACAAGATCACCACCTGTCCATCTTTTCCACCAGTACAAAAGAAGTTTTCATTTTCATTACTCGAAATCACTATAACATATTAAATGTCAATACTGACTTATATTTCTGTTGGCGCACAATTGCTTGGGAAAGTAGTAGATGAGGATAAGAGTAAGTAAGAATGTCTCAGCACCACTGCAAACAAAAACTTCAGATCCAGCAGGAGAAAGGGGTTCCAAGGACAGGTTGTTCCTTCACAAGAAACCCCCTTCAAGAATTTTACTAATAAAATCTCTTACCTGCAGCCAGTTGCATAAAGTTTTAATGTTCTATCCTTCTAATAATTATTGTATTTCCTTTCGTGGGCACTTACAGGAATTCCAGACTTTGGCTCTTACAAGAAGTTCTTCCACACGATATTAGAGGAACAAATAACTATGAAAAAAAAAAAAAAAAATGAAATTTTGCTCAACAGTTATGAGCTAAAAAACAAAATCTAGGAAGCATTTCCACTAAACTGAGTTCATAAACTCTACCAAATTGGCAAAATTAAACTGACTTCTACAAATTAATAGATTTCCCGAGGGAAAAGATTTAACTGATTAAAAAGGGAGATGGAAAAGTGGAGGAAATGGGTGCTTCCTAGCAGTTACGCAAAAGGAAATCCCTATCTGATCAGATTGAGTTTTGACAAACAACTCACCGTCTCCAAGGACACGAGTCGAAAATGGACATTAACCCCCCAATAGGGCCAGTTGACAGGCAGGCAGACTACAGGATCATTCTCAATATCCGTAATAGCATTCCACCGCTTCTCCAATCCTGCAAGTGAACTTCGCTGATCAAAACATGGTTAGAAAAATATTCAATTTAATTTATGAACAGCTACCAGTTTTTTTTTTTTTTCTGGTTTATATTATTAAGAACTTCATTTCTGAAGTTTCTTAATCGGGATGGCCGGAACCTACCACAAGAAACTCAAGCCACATTATTGCATAGTTCATATACAAGATTTCAAATAACGGATTTTACAAAGTTTAACAGCCGTGACATTACAATATCACTAAGTGACGATGTTGTCACAGGTCGATGTAGTGTCCGGTTAAAAGTTCATAACCATAGCACGGTCCATAACAGCAAGCTGACGACACCATAGTAACCATTACAGCTAACTCAGCCCAAGACTATATTAATCCTTTTTCTCAATTTTCCACTTTATATCCACAAAGTCAGTTCTCATTATAACCAGAACACTCTATAATATATCTAGTTTTCAAATCTAAGTTTCGCTCTTGAACCAAGAGCTTGGGAAATTTCATTCAATCGGTAAGTTCAACTTTATTATGCATATATATTTTATTTAAAATTTCATTTAAGTTAGAAATATATGCTAGATATTATCTAAATTGTTGGTGAATCTTTAGGACATTTCATAAGAAGAAACTTCTGCTTTATTGAATAACTTTCATATATTCCAAGTTTAGTGCATTTTTAGCATTTGACGTACTTAAAAATGAGTTGACCTTTGACCATCGACTTAAAATAGAAACTAAAAATCATTATAATATCAAGTCATCTTTATAAGTTCCCTTTTTTCTTTTTCCTTTTCTGGATGAGGAACATCTTTATAAGTTCAACAAAACTCATTTTAAATAATAATAATAATAATAATACCAAATTTATAGGATTTTGGGATCAAAACATACGTGTCATACATTTTATGGGAGTTGAACATAAATAAAGAATTCAGAGTTTAGCCACATCCATTACATTAAGTCAGCTAGACCACTTACACTGTTATTGTAGATATCACTGTTACTTAAACACCTTCAGAACTCAAACAATTTGAGCTTCATCAAAATGATACAATGAACAAAGGGCACACAAATCTACCCAAGCAAGCATTTTTATTTTTCATATTTTCAACTTAAAATTTGAGCAATCTGACTTTCTGTATATTTCTTATTCCTTCAGCATACAAATATCAGAACATTAAATAAATAAAATTGAGCAACATAAATGTCAAAGCTTCTAAAGGGTACCTTCCAAATTTATATAACTCCTTTGGATAATTAGAACCCCTAGGGAAGACTGATACTTGGAATAATTTTTGGAAGTAGTTTATATGGGGGCTTAGTACTTGAGTCACCATCACTAAGAATGCATGGAAGCTCGCTTTCCAGGATAGAATAAGCATCTGCAAATGCCTGAGTCGCACAATATTAATAGAATATCAGAAGCACAATAATAATTATAACAATCAACATTTTCTTTGGGACTTAAGCACAATGGTTCACATTTCAAATAACCCAGGACAATGTCTACCAATTAAGGAACGCTGTATTGATTTCAAAAATGAATTATTTTGTCCATAAATTAAGAACAGTTTCCACAAAAAATGGTTAGCTACTGCAAGGTCATATAACCTGGCAAAACCCGGATAATCTTTCTATCATAATAAAGTCATTAAGTTGACAAAAAAGTACATTCTCGCATGTTTATTGAATTTGCTAATAAAGCGAGCAAACTGTTAGATTGATATGCAATGTTATCCATAAATAGCCAAAAGTGCTGGTCAGAGATAACAGTTAAAACTTTTTCTCCTAAAATATTTGATTTATCTGATAATGTGAAACCTACATCATGGAATTATAAAATTGAAGGACTTGAGTTAACAGAAGCTTCAAATGAATTATCACAGGAACAAACCATGTGATGTCTGTCCTCTCCTCATTCGTCAGTTCATTAGCTTAGGTGTTGCGAGGTCAGACGTATAGACAAAGAAAGGTATTCTCTTTTTTCCTCCCCATTTCTGCTCATAGAGTAACCAATACAAATAGAACCTTTTAAAAGAAATATATATATACATACACATACATATATGTATATCGCCAAATAGATATGTCCCTGTATAGCAGAAAACTGACATACAAAGTAGAAGTAATGGAGAATGACCCTTAATAAATGAGTGTGTGCACCTATCAAAAAAACAAAATTTCCTGTTGAACTCCAGATTTTTCTGGAGTAGGCCACACACAGCAGTAAAGTTCGTTGGATCTAAGTCACATAATTCTTCTCAACAGGTGCCGCTCTCACTCCCGTTCTGCACGCGCTCTCACTCCTGTTCCTATTCTACATGACTTAGATTTTGCTGCTTCCGCTCTCAAATTCGCTCCCGCTCCCGCACTGTGTGACTTGGCTTTGGATTACATTCAAGACCAAAAAAAATGATGATGATGATAATAATAACAATAACAAGTTACATGTTGCTATCCCAGTTAACACCTCAATGCCTCCACTTAACGTGCACAAAAATACAAATATATGGCACCAGGGAGAAAGGACAATGCACACTGAAACTTGCAGCGAGGAAGTATGAACAAACATTGTTCAGGTAATCCAAGATATCTATTAAAAAGAAAGTTCACTTCTGATGAAAAGTAAAATGATGGGGATGAGATGCGATTCGCACACGAGTTACATGTGTTACAACGTTACTTTTGGAAAAGAGGAGAATTAGGAATTTTTTGTAAATTAGGGCTACAAAATTATGTTTCTTGTTATATTTGGTAATATTTGAATTTTAGGGTTAATTTGGTATTTTTATATTTTAGAGTGTATAGGGTTTGCTTAACATTGTCCTATATAAGGCCCATATGTAATCATACATTTTCAGATTTTGATTATTGGAATTATTATCGCAAGTTTGGGAACTCTCCCGGTGTCTCTTCTCCCTCTCTGTTCTTGCTCTTTTCAATCTATCTTCTCACCCCCTTCGTCTGCCTTCTAACTTCTTCTTCTAACCTCATCTCATCTTCTCATTCCCATCCCCCTCTTTCTTTCTGGTTCTAAATTGAAGTAACAAGAAGCTTATCTGCCCTTCATCACTATGACTTCAAAATAGGAAACTATAAATAACTGTTAAAATTTGTATAGACCGGTTAAGAATCTAAATAAAAACCCAACTTATCTTAACCTGAAAAAGATAGTCATAAACCAAAACTAGGTTTAAAAAGAAAAAGTGACTAGAACTACAGCTCATTCCAGCAAATTTTGAAATCACTACATTCCCTCAACTCAAAATAAAATATAATTGATTACAAAAGGTTCTAATTGCACCTCATATGGAATCCAGAAAAATCCCCATTTTGCTAACATATTTTGCACACTGAAGTATTTGCATTGATCAGTTTCAGAGTTCAAAAAACCTTTTTTTTGTTATACAAAAATCCGTACTTCTTTGCAAAACTAATATTTTAAATACAAAAAATTTCAAAGCTGGTAATAATCCAATAAAGATTATAGACTGACCTTGATGCATTGATGTATCCGGAAGCAATTTCGCCCCACATTATTTGTTGGGAAAAGAGGATCATCAATGTATATTGGGTCGATGCTACAAGATAGATCATCAAGCATAAAGAGAAATATCTACAAGGACCTCCTACAACACAAATTCTAACAAACAAAGCAACTAGATGCTTCTGTTACCTATATCCTCGTTCCCTATTTATGTAAATCCCACTTCCCTGCACTGAAATACGCATTTGGCGAGGATCAAACACATTCCTGGATTACACAGGCAAGTCAGATTAATAGCAATCATGAGATTTAAGACAGAATTTGAAAATAATACAATCAATTGAGGACTACTAGTAAACTAGGAATCATGTCAACAATACATAAGAGAGAAAGCCCATCTCATAAATGGCTTCAACTCACCCAAAGAAGTAGAGAAAATCCATCAGCAAGCTTCCAAGATTCTACCAACCAGAAAAAATAATAATAATAAATAAATAAAAGAAGAAAAGGAATAAGAAGATGTTAATGTTGCAAGCAAGACAAAAGAACAAAATGTTTTTGCAGATGCACAACAATAAAAGTAAAAGTTCTTATCAATAACCAAGCCAGCAAGAATTTGAAATTTCTTTTCATAAAATTGAAACCAGGACGCATGCATGCAGACATACATGGACAAACTGCACATATAAACACACACGTGCACTCCACTTGATATCTATATGCTAAGAAGCATGGACACTTCTATGAGGTGTCGTGTCCGTGTCCGTGTCCGTGTCCGTGTCCGACACTCCATGGCCACTCCTAAACACGTGTCCGATACTTCATGGCCGTGTCCGTTATTTAAAAAATATATTTTATTATTTTGGACACTTGACCATCACATCTTGGATGCTTGGTCAACAGACTCAACACAACACATTCCGGACACTCGATCATCACATCCTACACTCTTTGTCTTATATAAAACAAACATATGACAGTCCTGAAGATAGCATGAACAAACATCAATGTGTTCAACCTCTAAGAAACAAAAACATAACTATAATGACAAGATAGGTGTAAGGGTAAGGTCCCCACAAAATAAGGGAGCCCACGTGCCATCAACGTGGCACCAAGGTAGGTCCTGCTAGCATGATAGCTCCTCATGGTTGAAAGGCCAAAGAAGGGTCCTCTAGGGGTACCTCGAGGATAACCACGTTCCAACTAGGGGACTCTCGTGCCAAAGGATAGGCCCGCAAGCATGAACCTTACGAAAGCACTCTCAAAAAGAACTTCACCTGCAAACAAGTGCAACACCAGAGCGAGACAAAGGTAGGATAGTCCTGAGGGATCGCGAATCTTCATCTTGGGACTCGGAAGGACCTTTGGAGTGGAGGATGAGAAGCTAGAACTTGCCAAGCCATAGGCCTAGCCAATGGGATAGTGAACAGCGTGCCACGACCGAAACCCCACTAATCACATTAAATGCTCCTAGCTACCGCCATCTTAGAAGGGATGGGTGCATTTATTGCTGATGTAGAATTAACATGCCATGCCAAATGATGGCATGGCCGAAAGACTATTCTGACCCTATAGACCTAAAATGGTCATGATTGCCTTACTAGGGTAGGTAAAGACTCTGGGTAGAGTCTCGAGAATGAACCACTGGGTGTTACCCAATAGTCTAAGGCTATAAATAGGACTCTCATGCGTCCATAGAGTGAGGACTGATAACCTTAAGTATCACAAGAGGTAAAAGACATTTCTACCTTCATCATCACTTCAATTGGCTAGCTTGTTTCTACTCCTCCTTCCTCCTAAATGTACCATCTAGGTCCCTCAAATGTGTGTCTTTGGTATCACCATTGTTATGTACAATTGAATCATAGTAAAACCCCCCACAATACGATAGCAATATCATATATAACCTAACATATTCTTTTGGGTTAATCTCACTAACACCACCTCAGGTTTGGCCAAATATCATATTGAAACACTTTTCAAAAATTACTATCACTTAGGTCCAATTTTACATTTCCGTCACTAACACCGTTAAAATTGTGCCAAAAGACAAATTTGCCCCTAATTTTTTAATATTTTATATTGTAAAATATCAGCAATCTAAAAGACTATTTTGCCCTCATTAATTATCTCACTTACCCACTCGTCTCTCTCATAAGGATGGGAGAACAACTCAATTTCACGATCGGAACAAACTGATATTCCGGTAATCGACGACGGAGCAATTGCCGGAGAAGCCACAAAAGGGGTAGTAGGAATTAGGGTGCGTTTGGGTAACGACTGGGGATGGTTTCCAGTGGGACAAAAGATGGAAAGATGGGAATGGAATTGAAGATTTGAAAAGTTGGGTTTTTTACAAGAGAGTCCTGATACTAATGCTCACCACTTCAACCCAAGTGCTGGTGCGATGCGTTCAAATGGGACCATGTGCGCATACAAGTGGTCACATAAGAGTATGATTTACAGTAATCATAAACTTGACATGCTCGCATCAATATTGAATTGGTCAAAATTAAAGTTCAAGTTCAGGTCCTTACTTATCCCTCCTAATATATGCAGTAACTATTTCATATGTAAAACTTTTCATAGAATTTCATATATACTTGTGCACCTTTGTTTGGCCAATCAATACTTCAGTTTGGTATTAAAGTTAAGGTTTTGTTGATTCACATCTCAAAACACTCTCATTCTGCCTAAATAGTGTCACATTAATCTAAGTTTTGCTTTGATTTTCACATTATTCTCCCGAGATGGTAATTGGTTGAATAGGTATATCGGTCTGGTGCACATGCCTGTTTACCCAAAGAGGATGAGATTGTCTCATGGGTCTGCAGCACTAGAAAGTAAACTCCTTCATTGCCCAAGTTCCTCTCTCTCTACCTCTGATTTTATGCCTGTTCTTTGTCAGATTGATACCTTGCGGTCTATTGGTTTCTCCAACAACTATTTAACTGAAATTCCAAATGGGTTCATGACAGGTTGTGGAGAGACTGGGGGTTAAAGCTGTGGAATTTTAGTATGAACAAATTGAGGGGTCATTTGCCATTATTTGATGTGATAACAGAAGTAGAAATAGAAGAAGAAGAAAAGGGATAGAAATGTCTTTTTAAACATCAAACAACCTTTCAGTGAGTCAAGACAAAGTCAAAGGGGTAATAATGTATTTTTACGTGCAAAAAGTGGTCTGACACAACTGGAAAGTAACTTTTGGGGTGTGAGTGAAAAACGGACCAAACGTTTGTAATGTGAGTGATACTAATTTTTAAAAGGTGTTTCAATGTGATATTTGGCCAAACCTGAGGGGGTGTCAGTGTAATTAACCATATTCGTTTTTATATTCGAATAGTGTCATCTTATAACTTATAGAACTTTAGTATAAAATTTAAAAATTAATTAAAGTTCTATAATTGTCATTCAATAGATATATAAATAAAAACTTATATTAATATTAGCCGTGTCCACGCCGTATCCATATCCTACTTTTTTAGAATTTGACGTGTCGGTGTAGTGCCTGTGCCCGTGTCCGTATCCGTATCCGCATCCATGCTTCTTAGTCTATATGCTAAAATTAAAATTAAGAGCTTCGACCATTTTCTTTTAATCTACCATCTACAAAATTGCAAGGCATGTGCCGCACATTAGAAGATGGCTTTACCTTCTTCACTAGTCCTGCAAAAGATTAACCACCCTCATTTTCCACAACTCAAAAATCTTTGGACTAGTGAGCATTAGACCTCACAAACCGATTTCGTCAAGGATGCACAATCCAGTGATTTGGAACCATTGGCCATAAAGCACAAGAAAGATGGGATCACAAAAACTAGAATTACAGTTAAGAATATCAGCCAAGACTTGGTCTCCTTTGGAAGTTCAAGTATATTCATCCTTCGGAAACTAGAAACTTCTTGATATTCCTATACCAAGGAAGTACTGCAAACAAGCTTGAATCTTTGACCTCAAATTCCTCATATGGTTTTTAGTTTATTGACACAACTCAAAAAGTATTCCCCTGCCATTAGACCAGCAGCACAGACAAAAAAAAACTATAATCAAACAATTTGTTGTTTATAAAGAGCATGCGGTCACCTTACCTAAGTATATGTATACAAAAAATACTAACAGTGCACTAATCATCTTGAATCAGCTCTCAAAATCACCTCAGTTTATAGAGAGCTGTCATTAGTTTAAACTCCTTTTTACTTTTCACAGGATGAACCTTAGTGGTGGCACTATATTACTTCCTCCAAATCTCAATGAAGAAAAACATTCTTTGCGCCTGATAGTTAAAACACCTAATTAGTAAGAGATAACAAAAGTCAAAACTATTTCCTCCAGGAAGCTAGAGTATAAAATGCTCCTAATTATCCACCCCAAACGTTTAATGTTACATGAAAATTTCAAATTGTATCGTACTTATATCAGACATAAAATGACATGGACATGGTATGGACCATGCCATTTCATATGAACATCATAACACAGGTGTACACTTGTGAAATAAAAGATGATTACACAAGCATTCAAACAATCCAAAGTCGGAACCTGATAAAATTCAGGTTCAATAACTTACTTGGTTAATAGGCCGGCCAAGGTGATGCTCATGCTGAAGAAAACGTGTAATCAGTAATATCTGTGAAAGTAGACAAAATAATAAGGTTGACAGATTCAAAACCTCAACGACAGTTATTTACCTCCTGGTTTACAAGGAACAATGTGACAACAGCATCACCCCCCAAAACAATTAAATGTGAAAACACCTCCTGGGTTCCATATTTCTCCATTTGCATTTGTTCTCAATAATTTCAATGTGTGAACACTGTATTCTACCAGTCTAACTCTTCACATACATGGAGGTGGGTGAGGGAGTATGCAGCTTATTCAGGGCAAGTAACTGTTTAATGAGGTATTAGACTTTTGGTCTAGAGAGTCTTGGTCTGAGCCTCTCCTTTTGCTGTTTATCTACCTCTCAATGTGCTACAGGGGGTTCCCACATGAGGGAAGGAGGATGAGTGAGCTTTATTTACATTGTTGCACCATTACATAATAAATTAAACTTTTGGGCCAAGTAGATGTTTAACGACTGTCAAAAATTCAAGTCACTAATTTACCCTAGCTTTAAGAAGTTCTTTCAAGCTTTACTTGATATTATAGTATAGAAAATATCGTTGGCGGTGTATCAGCCAAGTTTGGTTAAGTAAAGGACAGCCCAGGCTTGGTTCACCAGGTAAGAAGTCGTGATTGAGCCGGTCAAGTACAAGCTTGGCCCAAAAATGCTTGGTTTGGCTCAAAAGTTTGAAATATGCCAATTGACGTTGATATAGGTGGTTACAGAAACCCAAAGTTGAATTTCAGCCTAGTCATTTTTCTATCCAGTGAAAATTTTCACTACAGATTTTTTTATTATTTTTTTAAAAAAAATAATAATAATAATAGAAAGAGAAACAGCTTCTAAAAGATTTTTGTATATGGTCTTGCGAATACATGATAAAACTAACTGACACAATCGTGTCATAGCAGGTCAATGCTCCTCCATGTACTAAAGATCACCTCATTTTATGAATTAGAAACCATCATAAAAGACAAAAGCCAATTTTAGTAATAATAAATTACAAAGTGACCGAATTGGATTGGCCCAAGAATTACAAAAAAATAAATAAAAAATGTAATCATAAGCCATTACAGCCAAGTACATTGCAGATTTAACTGAACTTATTCTATGACAAACTTACATTTTAGTCTCATGTTTATCCAACGACCTAAGTAAACAAGCTCAAACAAACATTTACAAGTCAAATCTGGGTCGAGCTCGAGTAGTTTGGTTTTGCTTTACGGAACTAGTTCTCAATGGGATTAACCAGTTGCTGATATCAGTTTAAGTACTCAGTTTTTTAGGTTTAAATATAGGGAAATTAAAATGACCTCCCCTGAGGTTCAGTCAAATTACACCGTGTTACCCTCTTGTTTGACAAATTACAATGGCCTCCCCTGTCAGAGTTGTCGGGTGGATGGTGTTAACAGAAGCAGTGAAATTACTTATTTGTCCTCATTTTTTAATATTTTTTTTTTAGACTTAAACAAAGCAAAATGAAAAGACAACTACCCATTTGTACCCCAACGCTGGCTCACCCTTCTACTACTGATCCACAGCCATTAACGGCGTCGATGACCGGCAGCCCAACAGTTCAAATACGGGACTTTGCATATACTATGAATAAACCATCTGATAAAATGAAAGTTCTCTCTTATTATTCTCATTCTTTGACAAAGGCGTCACTGACCTCTCGCATGGAGCACTCTGTCACTCGCAACGCTCTTGTATCATCTTTTGACAGAAAGCTTGTGGGAATTTCGATGGGATCCGGATTCGACCACCTCCTTAATCATTTGGCAAATGGTTGTGGTAGTATGTCATATGATCAGAGAAAGGGAAAGACAGAGAGATTTGATGATCTGTTGGTGGAGAGAGAAATGGATCAATTTATTGTTTATATATGTATACACAACACTGTTGACAATTATACTCATATAATTATACACATCCATAAATATATAATCATCTCACTTTGTCTAATTGGGTCTCTCTTTTAGTGTTCAATTTTAGCTGACCATCAAAAGAAAAGTAAGATAGCAGATAATAGAATCAATGTATGCAACATAAACACATATGTATGATAATATCCCTCTCTTTCTCATTGGGTCTCTCTATTTTAGTGTTTGATTTTAATTGGCAACCAAAGAAGTTAGAGAGAAGAGAATAAGATCCAGCAGAGAGACATCTTGAATTTCCCATCATCAATGGTAGGTATGGTGGTGGGAGCAGTTCAATTTGTACATAGGAATGAGGGAGTGATGATCCAGGATATATATAGAAAGAGGATGAGATGGTACAAAGTATTTTTTTTTTTTTTTTTGATAATTAAGGTTTTATAAAAGGTGCTCGAAAGGGGGAGCGTTCCCAAAGAAGACAACAGCCGACCAAAATCGACTCTATAGCTTTAAGCTATACACAAAATCCAAAAGAATATCCATTGAATTACAATCCCGCCCGTATACCCAAAAAAATAAACAAGTATATTGTATTTAATAGCCCAAATGGGAGACTCTTCTCCTCCAAAGTATCTCCTATTTCTTTCGCGCCACAAACCCCACCAAATACAAAGGGGAGTGGCCCTCCAAGCATCTCTGACTCGGCTCTCCACTGTACACCCTTTCCAAGTCTCTAACAAGTTGACTGTGGATTCTGGGAACACCCATGGAAGACCAAACGCAACCAAAAACATAGCCCAAACATCCCTGGCCACTGAGCAATGAATAAGGAGATGGTTGACAGATTCCCCCATCTTTTTGCACATGAAACACCTGTTAACCACAACATGATTTATTTTTCTAAGATTATCAATGGTAAGGATGCTTCCAAGGCGACAATCCACGAGAAGAATGCCACCTTCAGTGGAGCTTTCATCCTCCAAATGGCTTTCCATGGAAACATAAGGCTAGGGCGCTCCAACATGCATTTGTAAAAGGACTTGACCTCGAACTCTTCTCTTGGGGTTCCCACCTACAGCATCTCGTCCATGCCCACCCCGAGTACCACCTCTCTATAAATGAATGCTAAAAAGTTTGTAACCTCCAAAAGTTCCCAATCATGAAACTGTTTACAGAACTGCACATCCCAAGTCACCCTCCCATTATCAAGACGATAATAGTCCGCGACTACTGCATCTCTAGCCACAACAATCCGGTAAAGACAAGGGAAATCTGAATTCTCACACTATCTGTCTTCCCAAAACTTGACATTACTCCCGCTTCAAACTTTAAACCAGATACGTTTAGAGAATTCATCCCAAGATCTACGGATAAGTTTCCAAGAGCCCATACCTGCTGGGATTCTAGCCTCCCTAGAAATCCACCCTCCATCGCCCTCCCCGTAATGACAAGCTATAACACGCCTCCAAAGCTTGAACCTCTCACCTGAACCTCCACAACCACTTGCCCAACAACGCCTTATTAAACACATCCAACCTTCGAATCCCCAAACCCCCCTTATTAATAGGGGAACACACCTACTCCCAGTTAACCAAGTGGTACTTGAACTCATCTCCTAAACCCTCCCACAGAAACTCCCTTTGAATAACATCAAGTCTTCAAACAACTGTCTTAGGCATCGGAAATAGCAACATATAGTAGGTCGGGAGACTTGAGAGAGTGCTTTTCATAAAAGTAACCCTCCCCCCTTTGGACAAGTATTGCTTCTTCCAACCTGCAAACCTCTTCTCATACCGCTCAACAATCGGATCCCACACAGAAACTCTCCTCGGCGAGGCTTCCAAAGGGAGTCCCAAGTAAGAGATCGGAAAAGAGTCAACACCACACCCCAGAATATCAGCCAAGGCATGAATATCATCCACCTCCCCAACTGGTACAATCTCGCTTTTCACAATGTTAGTCTTCAACCCAGAAACAACTTGGAAGCAAGCCAGCACGCACCGTAAATACCTCAACTAAATGAGACTAGCATCAAAAAAGACAATGGTGTCATCCGCAAAAAGCGGGTGGGAGATGACCAACTCATTCGGAGCTCTACCCACCGAGAATCCATGAATGAACCCAAGTTCACCCGCCCTCCCCATCCGACGGCTAAAAGCCTCCTTGACGATCATAAACAAGAATGGGGAGAGAGGGTCCCCCTACCTCAAACCATGAGAAATAGCAAAAAAATCAGCTGGGGATCCATTCACTAAAATAGAGAACCGAACCGTCAAAATACAAAAAAAATAAAAAAAATCCAGGCCATCCACTTTTGCCCGAAGCCCATTCTCTCCATCAGGTACATCAAAAAATTCCAGCAAACATGATCATAAGCCTTTTCAATATCCAGCTTGCAAACAACCCCCGGAATACCACTTCTCACCCTAGCCTCAATGCATTCACTAGCAATCAAAACTAAATCCAAAATCTGACACCCTCCAACAAAAAAGCATTCTGAGAGTCCGAAATCACCCCTTCGAGAACACTCCTCAACCGAATGGCTAAGAGTTTCGCAATAATTTTATACACCGCCCCAACAAGACTAATTGGTCTAAAGTCCTTCGCCTGACATGCTCTGCTCTTTTTGGGGATAAGCATGGTGAAGGAAGCGTCGAGGCTCTTTTCAAAAGAACCATGCAGGAAAAAAGTTATACATAATTTTACATATATGCCATGCAAACACATTTACCATTCAGATTGCATTTTAGTTTGGATTTCCATGAGGTATTATTGCCTTGTTTGTGGACATGTATCGCAGACATTCAGGGAAACGGAGCAATTTATGGGTTCGAATGGGTTGACAAAGCAACTAAAAAAACACTTTAGGAACTTTAAACTATAAAATTCGCTTACATCAGCGATTACAAACGTTGACCGCACTGACCATTAACGGCCGTTAACGGTGGGGAACACGGTGCTATAAAGATATAAACCTCAAGGGAGGTCAGTGTAATTTGTCAAACAAGAGGGGAACATGGTGTAATTTGACTGAACCTCAAGGGGAGCTTAGTGCAATTTTCCCTTAAATATATACAAAACTTGAACTAAATAATGTACCTTATACAAGAAATCATCTGAAAGTGAGCCTGAGTGAACTTTAGCATAGGATATTGGTATCAGAAATATATTATTTTTCACTTTAAGAACTCAATGATACAGGGTACCCCAGCCATTTCTTTCACATTATACATGATCTTTGTTGAAGCATTTTCCTTATATGGCATTGTGAACAGCAAACAACCATTAACAAATTTAATACTTAATCATAGAACACCAAGTATCTATAGAACTCTTTGCCAATAGTACTCCCATGTAGAAAGCTAGTTACTGAACCATCAAATTAAATAATGCATCACTACTCACCAGACAATATGAACTTAAGCCACCTGAATAGGATTGGTCCAGGCTACGATCTGACAAGAACTGCTTTAATACCAGAGCAAGGGGCGTAGCAGCAGGAAATTGCTCAGTGAGCTCCTTAACCTGGACACAAATTTGAAGCACAAAAAAGGTTAACACAAAACAAACATGCATGAAGACATGATATCTCAAACACTAAATCATTAGTGAAAAAAAAAAGGTAGAGGGAGACGCATTAATGACAATTATGATTAGCTCTAAAAATTCTATCAGCTTCACAAGAACACTCCCAAAATATTGCACATCCCACTAGAAAGAACAATGTTCTGCATTGCCATAATTTTTACCTAACGAGGTAAAGAGTACAACTGTACAAGCCAGACAAACATAATTTATATTTAGCCAGAAACTCTAATGGGTTAAAATGTCAAGACAGATCTCAGAACTGTATAGTTAACTTATAAAATAAGAAGTTTTAAATTTAAGATAGAGAACTACCAGTTCTGTTGTTTGGAAACCTGTGTGGGATGGCGACTTAAAACTGACGTCAAGACGAACTGATTTCACATTCTTGTCGTTATCATTATCCATCTGTGAAAGTTTTGAAGGAGTAGAGTTTTCTAAACCAACCAAATCAGTCTGAAAAAGATTGGCCAGTTCACCAGTCACCTGAGTTGGTTCCTCTTTAATTGCATGTACATTGGAAGTAGCAGAGATAATAAGGTCATTAGGAACTTCCACAACAAGCATGATAATAGGTATCTGGAAAGCAGGAAAAGGCAATAGCAAGATGAGATGAAGCATGAGGATAAAAAAATTATATTAAGAAATAAAGAAAAATAATAGTGCTCCAAGGTAAGAGGCATTACAGCTGTATTTTCGACAGTCTTGAGAGAATCATTTTTAACCCATTCCTGATTCGCAAGATACCTAGCAGCATGCTGGAAGGCAAAATTGGCACTGTTAATTCAACAATAGGCTACGGTAATACCAAAGATGACAATAGTTACATTCCCAGCACTAAAAAAGGAAAGGACTGATTAATTTATATATTCAACTCAACGCCTTCTTCCCAACTACTTGGGATGACATAAATCCTATTTTTCCATTCCACTTTATCTAAACCAAGGCTACAGACTCAGTACAACCACATATTACCATACCCTTCCTTACTAACTCTAGTCACATTAACTTTGGTATTACCCTTTTCCTCTAACATTACCTCAATGTGGACCCTGTCACTCTTATGCACCTGCTTTATATAAAGTCAGCGATTAACCTTAAAAATTAGGACACAGTGATGTACAACATTGTTGAAATTTTCCAATTTTCTTTCCCTATAACTCGGGGCAATTTAAGTTTCAGTAAAAATTATGCATAAATGGGAAGTTCTCTTATCTCTTTCCAACCAAGTCGTGACCACTCTTTTGAAGTTGTCCCATCTCTTTTCAACCAAATAGTGCCAAATTAGAAAATTTCTAACAATACCTTTCCCAAAACACCAACCCCAACTCACCAAAAAAAAAAAAAAACAGAGAAGAAAATTAATGGGGACAAATGGAATTAATGCAAATAACGTTAGAAATGATGGCAATGGATTTACAACTCTCTTTCTTTTTCCCCTGAATCAATGGATTTACAACTCATATCGCCTAAAATGCATATGTTTGGAAAGATGGATTATAGATCCATACCCCTCAAAAATTCACACATCGCCCCAAACAATAAGAAGAAAACCAATTGGCCTGCTGTAGTAATCCTTCAGGGGATATTTCATTTACATTTAAACAAAAAAGTACAAGCAACAATCAGTTTGTTGGACAAAGCAAGAGAGAGTTTAAAAAGTAGAAGAATTCAATGAAAGAGAAGAAGTACAGGAAAGCCAAAAATAAAAGGTTAAAAGTCAATTATGCCTACTGTCTCACAACCATGGAAACAATTTGTATCATTTGCTGCATACCTGGAGGCAAGTTTCTTTAATACCATTGCGACCCTCCAAGATCCCAGCTTCTTTAATTGGTTCCTGCGAAATGTCCAGACAATAGTTTATTTCCTATAGAAAAAAAATAAAATAAAATAAAAAAAGCACAAGAGATGGAAGTAAAACCAGATTGATTAAATCAGGTTATTTCTCACCAAGTTCCTCACTGGAGGAAGCGAAACAACAAGGTCCACATCGCTTGTTGGAAGGGACAAACCAGTTGCATTTGAACCATAGATGTGTGTCCTAGACCGGGGCCATAAGACTTGAAGAGACCTTGTAACCCGCTTGACAGCCCAATTAACATAAGGCTTCCTAATCATATTCTCTGCAGCAACCTTGAATTTCATTGTGTGACATTAATTATCAATCATGCAAATTGCATGGATGCTAGAAGTTACAAGATTTAAAAGCCATGAAGCGGAAAATTTGGCTGCAAATTTTTTTTTTTCCTAGTTGAATTTAGCTGCAGTAAATTAAAAACTGAAGGAGAAAAACACACTTTAATCTACACTTTACCTGCTTGCAGAAGGAGTCAATTTCTTCATGAAGGAGGCTGTGGAGCAGAGAGAGAGATGCCTTACGTGCAGAACAGTTCAGTAAATCAGGTGGTTGCAGAAGCAATGAAACATCAGGCTGTAATTAACAATTTCAGCAAGAAATGGGCAATTGAGAACCCTAAAAATGAAATTGAAACAGAATTGCTAAAACAATATACTTACATGTTCCTGATCACGAGTTAGCTGGGAGATTGCGATGAGCCGATCCTGCAGCAAAGCGCCTGATAAAGGCTGAATCATGGGATGTGCTGAAAGGCTTTTATTTCTCCAGGTGGGCCAAACCACTTCACTACCATCCATGCGCACACAAGCTTCCTCAAAGTTAGTTCCATCATGGAACCATCCTTTCACACCCCATTGCCTTGGGCTGGAGCTACCAGACCGAACAGTTGGAAATCCCCTGTGTTTTCTGGAGTCACCTACCGGAGAGGGTGGAGGAGGACGAGGAGCACGTGGAACACAAAGCACTACAGGTGAAGGTGGCCGCTTGATCCGAGGTTGCTCCCGCCTGTTAGGAGGAACACATGGACTTTTATGATCATGACTACGCCTAAAATCAGACCTTGATCTTTCCCGTGACATATTCGGAATGATAATTGGTGGCAGAACAGGGTAAGGAAATGAATCTCCTGCCTTCACTTCACCATCAACAGGCAAATTGGACAAAGATCCGGAGGTATTCTCGTCTGCTGCTACATCTGTCACTGTAGATGGGGTATGCAGCACCTTTCCATTTACTTCACCACCTGCTATAACATAACCAAGGGCCTGGTGCACTGGTCCTAATGGATCAAAAGGAGAAACAAAAGATGCGGCAGATGGAGAAGTCAGACCATTAGTACTGTAAGATGAAGAGAATGCAACCATATCATCAACAGCCCTATTCATGTCAGCTTCATGCCAAGCCCAAGAACTATCATCTGAACTAAGAGAAGGAGGACGAGAAAAACTGGTCCCATGATGATCAGAAGGATTCCAGTACATCACTCCCCCACCAAAATATTGATTATAATCCATCCCAGAAACTGCATGCACCTCAAGCTCTTCCTCTGATATCCAGTGGTTGTCAAGTTCATCTACTAGTTCCTGTGAAGTTTGTAGATCAGACAAGTCTGTTAAATCTCCAGAGTACATTCTTTCATCCTCATTGGTCATTCCTCTGGGCTGCACGCTTTGAGCAGTGAAACCCTGCTGAAAAGAAGGCTGCCTTAAGATAAAACCAGAATCATAACTACATGTCACCGATGAAGCCAATCCATTGATACTACGTACCATCGGGGGCCAATCCAAACTCATTGGTAATGGTCGAGACAAATTCCGGTTACCCCCATTGTCAATTGAAGGATTTCTTGACTGATGCACTGTTTGTATAAAGGATCGGTGGAAATGATTATGCCAATTGTGACCAACATCCAGATGCAATCTATCAGTGGCAGCTGGGAGATGTGAATTAACAGATGGAAAACGAACAGAAGATACAGTAGGCCACTCAAATGAAGGACATCCTGAAGAACTTATGGACCCAGTATCACAATTTCTTGCATTTTCTTGCTTCCCAGTTGAGGAGATCTTTTCTTTTGGACCAACTGAATTTGTTAGAACATCAGAAAAGACGGACTTTTTGTCAATTTCACTTAAAAGTCCAGCACGACAGTCGATCACTTCAGTGACGAGAAAACCATCAACCTCATTTGAAGGCAAAGCAGGAGTTGTTCCATTATAATCCATTCTAGAACTTACAGTTCCTATTCTGGAGGACATGCTGTGATAATCTATTGTTATGTCCAAGGAGTGACACCGTTTGAAATCAGTATGACTGCATTCTGTAGAATCATCAAAATATTCTTCTTGGCTGCTTTGGACCAGGTTGTCCTCCCTAATAGGCCCACTGGTGGAATTATTAGGACTTGTGTCTAGCATGTCTTTCTCACTACCAATTGAAATATCATTTGGCGCATACTGAACAATTGACTTATCAGATAACCAATCAGGGTTTGTGGCCTCAACTTGCGAAGTAATTTCACGGGGAGTAGAAATTTCTGTGACTTTTTTTTGGAAGTTTCCAACTTCAGCTGGATCATTTAAACCAGAGTATCTACTTTTATTGCTTTTTTTCCTACTCTTCCTCTTAGAATTCTGGATACTTCCTTTAATAGACCCTTGGTCATGTTCCTGATGACAGTCAATCAGTTATAAACCATTTAAATCTAAATGAAGAATATGATCCAAATAGAATATTGAGTACAACCATGTCAACTGCTGATAAAGGAGTTCCTCTATCAAGACCCTTCCCCTGAAGTGTGCAAGCAATCCCGTTCAACCCAATTACATCTTCACTATCTTTATGGACCAATCCAGACCCACAATCCTGAAATATCCTTTGAAGCAATTAAAACTAGATCTCAAAATAATTAATACATATGAGGGACTTCCTAAATACAATATATAAAAAGAATGGTACCTTGGGAAGTTTATAAAGTGGGAGATCATCATCTCCAGAAGATCTTGGAACAGGATTGGGCCTTTTCATATTACGGGTCTTCCCTTTTTTTCTACGGCCATTGGCACAAGGCTTCTCTTTGGACATTTTTGGAGGGACTTTCAGATCTCCCTCGTCCAGTAGTTCAAGCTTTGTACAATCAAGTGAAATAATCATGAGTAACCCTCGCAATTTCCTTAATATACAATCTGAAATGGTGCTGACAGAAACCAATGAACTAAAGAATAGATTGTCTTGATCATATTTACTATGCTGACAAGCTAATGATAAATCCAAAATATCAAGAAGAACAAATAAACCGTTGACTGCATTGACAAATGAAGAAGGCTTTCCAGAAACTGAAGCAGGAGCGGAAGTCAAATCAATGGATACATCTTTTCCTGTGTGTGTACAGATGGTCTTTTGACATAACATGGTATTGTTATATTTCAATGGTTGTTCTGCTCCTGCACTAACTAGCGACATTTTATCATCCAAGCTATTATCTGCCCCCTTCAATATCTCAATCGTCTGAAACATTGTGATGATCAGAAGTCAGCATACAAAATTAAAGTTTCAAGCTGAAACTTTAATACAGAATAGTAAATTTAATTGAAGTAAACCTCCACAATGAGGAAAATGTACAAACTCCAAGGACACAACAGCAGCCCCATCAAAGGATTATTTCCTATAAACATATATAAGCTTGCACCCCCCCGCTTTGACACATTGACCAACCAACTTGTCAATGGGCTCACAGTTCCCGACTTTCAATGCAGCAATGAGCCAATCAGGGTAATTTATAATAATTTTGTGCAAATATCGTATGTGCAAAATTCTCTTACCGAATCTCCAACAGTGGCAATCCCTCTTAATTTCAAATTGTGGAAAAGTTGTATGTTTCACCAAATTTTTTCTGCTCCATTCCTCTTCCCACTCGGACAAAAGAGTAAGATTTGAGGAAATCATGGTACAAAGAGTTGCTAATTTTTACACCTCCAAAATGTTTGTGGGTGTAATAGATTGAAACCCACAGTTAGACTAAGCACACCTATCATGCTTGTCATGCATCCCAACACATTCTACAAGCCCACATTTCAATAATTGCAAAGTTGAAACAATACTAATATGAACACTGAACAAATTGTGGCTGTTTAACCTCCGATCAAATTAATATTTAGTATGCTCAATGGTGATATTCATGGAACAGATATTGTCAACAAGCTATTCAGAGGCGTAAAAATAGTACTTGCACCAAATGCAATTTAATTCTGCCGAATATATACATATATATAACATCTCTTTGATCAAAATACATCAGCATCTTTCACATTCTTACTCCAAAGAGCAGCAGCCTTTCAAAACACACACAGGCACACACAAAATAATAATAACAATAATAAATAAATAAATAATCACTCCTCTTAAGGATCTTAACAAAACACAAGCACTGAACTCGCCGTAATTACCAAATCGGAATAAGGACATAATCACCATGGATTTAACCATGGCTCTAGATAAAGCAATCAGGGAAGAAGGATTCATGTAGCCAACATGAATTCGTTGAATCAAAGCTTTAACGAGTTCATTTAATTTTGAAATTAACTGAATTCAAACTAATTGTTATAAGTAAAATTCCAATTAGAAAATCATAACCTTAAACATGGTAGCTGCTCTTTGGTGATACCCCTTTCAAAGTTCAGACCTTCTTCCTCTATTATAACCAGAAAGAAGCCCCATCCTTTTCTATTTTAAAATTATAAAAAGAAAGTACCCCCCATTTATTATGAGTTCAATTCAAAAAATAACTGAGCTTTAAAAACAGGTCCATGTTACCCACATTGCAATAAAAAAAACACAGCCCAAAACAAAATTGCCATATTGGTTGAATCCCCTTCAAAATTAAGACATTATTACTTCAAGTCAACCAGAAAAGGCCCCATCTTTTTTTTTTCTATTTAAATAAATAAATAAAAAGCAGCCTCACCCCTTAAAATTAGTTTGTTTCTCACATGGGCTATATCAACGAAAAATTAAAAGATGTCGGAGAACTTCGAAAAAAATTAGTGAGAGAGAGAGAAGGATGAAACTTTGGCAGAAAAGGCAAGGTGGAAGCGGAACTACTGAAAAAAATAAAAACGGCGACTAGGGCCATTACAGACATCTACACAACTGAAAATACCACTGGACAAAGGATTGCTGACAAAAATTACACAAAGATCGCTGCACTTGCAAAGCAACATACTGACATAGAGCAAGAAGAATATATTTTTGCACAAAATAAAATATGGAAAAAGAATGGTGGGTGTTACTTGTGAGGTTTTACTTGTTGTGACTGATTATAGTTCCTGAAAAATATATATATATATTGTCTTGAAACTCCATATCATGTCAACGGATATTACATGGTGAAGCTCACGGAAACCTTTTTCATGTCTCTCCAATTAAATTCTAAAAAGAATCTCTCCTTACACCTAAAAATTTCTTCTAGCTGACAGCATAAGGTTTTCTGTTTGACCAAACACAACCAACAATAACAGCAGTTTTAACAATTCTTTGAAACAAAAAACAACCAGTATGAACCCTCTCTCTCTTAAATCTGTGATTATGTACATGCAGGTGTTTTAGCTCGGTATAAAGTTATGACTGATCTTAGCAATTCATGGTGCTGCATCACACTGCAACTAGTACAACTAACCAGCTTGGTGCACTATTAAACACTCCATGGACAATAAAGCAGTGGAAAAATAAATAGGTCAAAATTCTCATACGAGGCAAGCACTGTGGTTTCTGTTTGAGTTCAAGAGCAAAAGCATGCACTTTTGACGATGTAGAAAGATTCTTTAACAGCACACAGGAAGATAATCTCAGCACGATCAATAACAATAAAAAGCACTACTTACAATTAAGCACATGGATCCCCAGTGAAAGAAAGGAAGTTTGGCACGAGTAAAAAGTCTAAAATGCATTGGTTCCATTCATCACAATTCACATCGAGTGGGGCTAGGATCTACTTTGGATACAGTGCTGCCCCTTTCAAACTTATTAGCCCAAAATTACCAAAACTACTAGAGTTCTCTTGCGCAGCAATATTAAATCCTGCCACAATATAACATTTTTGTGTGCTAATATCCATTAAATTCAATTGTAACAAAATACCACATATTTTACCAACTAATATATAGATACATATATATACATATATTATGTTCAAATTGAATATTCAATCTAAGTGTTCATTAATATGTTTCATAATCCCATTCAATGATTCAAAAATTTCTCATAATTTCTAGGATCTATCAATATGAAATATTTTCCAAAAAAAAAAAATCCTATATTGACATCAATACCAATACATGGATAGCCAAATCCATCATTAAGAACCTTAACATAAATACTTCAGAACTCATCTATAGTTAAAAACCCAAATACTATACAAACCCCAATGAGAAAGTCTCTTAACAAAAGTAGGACAATCAAACTAATTTAGGCCATTTGTATAAGATTAATTAATTCTAGTACGGCAGGTAGTGATAAATGAATGTCCATGTCACATACAGCCTTTAGTGAGCATATATTATTCCACAAGAACATTGTACGCCTAATGTTTCATTTGAATCAAGGATTCTAAATGACTGATTCGGGCAATTTTGAAGTATAGATGAGATTCTAATTAATAGTAGATTTTGTTTTAGAGGCTATTGTTTAGTGCAATAATATAAGCTCAGACTGCTACCAAATGTAACTCTTTTTTCCTGAATAATACAAGTCCTAACTTAGGGAGAACAACTTAGCGTAAATGATGTCAAATGTTAGGTTTGCAGCAGATCTACCTTTCTCAACAGCTTTAACTAATTGGAATCACACTAGGCAATTGATTTTCTAATTAGATTTAGTATACAACTTCGTAGAAATGTTTACCCGTAGGTGTCATATGTAGTTCTTTGAGAAATGACCTACAAAACCTCACTTGTATAGTCTTATGTGGGGCTCAACCTTCGACGTAGTACATGCATATCACATACTCCACTTTCACACTTCCTTTTATACATTAGCAAAATCCTCAATGTATTAATTTTAAAGTTCCAGATCATTGTTGGCATCCACATTCATAATCTTAGTCATGAGATATGCAAAAATTGCAATTAAGCCAAGACGAAGAACGTTGAACCCCATAGATTTATCATATAATAATCCTATGTCATTTAACTTCTTTAAGATGTGACAACACAGAATTACATAATTGAATCACACCTAGCGCAGTGTATTTCTTTCTTTTCCTTTAGGGGGAGAGAGGGGAGGGGAGTGAGGGTTATTGCCTGGTTCAGCAGTTTAAGACTTGAAAATCAGTGTCATTGGTGCAAATTTGAGTCTCAAGCTGCTACTCTGTGAAATACCAATCCTACTTTCCAGAACCCTGTAGCAGGACCAGAGTTGGGTGACAACCCTTTTTTTAAAGGGTGAAGAATTATAAAGCAGCTGCCTAATATCCACAATAAAAGCATAATCACACAATAATCTTTTCATACAATTTCATTGGTTTTCATCTACATGATGGCTTAACCAAATAGATACTTGAACGGATTCTTTTGGACCAATAAAGGTGTATAACCTATCAATTCATTCTAATCTAAATCAACAACTAAGCCAGATGAACAAAGCTACCCAAACCAAACAGGATAACAGGAGTAGAAGAGAACAGCATTAGACACCTACGGCTTGTTTGAAACACTTCAACTTAAACCCCAAGTGTAATGGAACCGAATTGCAACACATCTCCAAATGGATTTGTTTAATCACCTACCCTTCGCTCTCATGGACTGTTCCAAGTTCCTTTGCACAAGTATCTCCATTAGCACTTAAATGATACCATTTCTTTTAGAAACTCTGGTCACCTAAAACATGCGACTTTAGGAATTAAAAACAATGCATTTTGCTGCCCCATTTTCAAACTATATGACACTCATTGGCATTTTGTACCACATTATATACAACTGTTGGGAATTTTGTATCCGATAATTGAACGCAAGAATACAAGTTTCCAAGAGTACCAGAGATTTTGCCGCTTTTCCCAAGACTGTAGTAAAGACTTTTCTCCTCATTTCGACATCCAACTTTCTCCACCAGTCAATACACCCCTTCTTCCTCCAATACGCATTTGCTGTCATGCCCGCAGCGGCAGCCTTCTCTTTCAATTTGACCCCCCTCTTCTTTCCATTATTAGAATTCAACCACGACAACCGCAAGGCCACCTCCAACCTGTTCGCCACGAAAGCCTCGATACTGTAATACCCTTTCGCCTTCAACCACTCCAATTCAACCCAATCTGAACCCAACCCACTTTCCTCCCCCCTCAAAAATCCCCCATTTGACACCGCATCCATCACTCCAACAAACCGATCCACGTTTTCAACAAACTCTTCACACACAGTCATGGAATCGAGGCAATTCGAGTTACACGAACAATCCACAACATTCTCCCCTTCTCTCGAATTGAAAAACCGAATTGCCTCAAAAATCATCCTCTCGGACTCATTTGACCCGCTAACTCGAGCTAAGAGGCCGTGAGACCTCCGAAAACAGAGAGTAGGAAGGCACGGGCGGTCGCCAGAGGGTAGATCAGGGAGGATGATGAAGAAACCGTGACCATCTGATCGGTGCTTGCCTTGCATTTGGAGGAGAATTTGGATGAAGTTTGGATCGACGGTGGTGAGGTGGGCTTGGCGTTGATGGACGGTGAGAGATGAGAACCATTTGAGGATGGAAGACCTAGGGTTAGGGTTAGTATTTGTAGAGAGAGAATGAGAAGATGAGTGGTATAGAGAGATGTGTGCGGTGAGAGAGTCGATGAGTTGCTTTGAATCCATCACCGTGTCTGTTGAAAGTGGTCTGTTCAAATTGTACGGAAATTTAGGGTTTGGTTTGTGCATTTTTGTTCACGGTGGTAGTTGCAGAGGTGACCGGACAAGAAGATAGTAGAAATGTTGTATTAAGCAAATAAATCGCGGATTGTGTAACACATTGAGACAAATTATACAAAAGCTCCAACTCAATTTTATGTAAGCCCTCCGTCCTATATCAATACTTCATTATTTTATTTTTACAGTCTCATTTTAATTGTTATATTTTAAACATTAATATATTACGTTTTATTACATTTCTAATTTGTCTCTGAAATATTAAATTAATTAAAATTTCAAAATAAGTAAAACTCATTAAAAACAACTTTTTCATATTACTATTAATAAACTTGTCAATATACATCTTTTTATACACTATTTTTTTTTAGAGTAGGACAAATTTAAAAATGCATCTTTTGTCAATCTAATAAAATATCATAAAAATTGTTGCCTTAAAAACTACGAAATGTTAAATTAGACTACCATAAAGGGATAGAGGGAGTACTATACACAAAAAAAAAATATTTATTTATATATATATATTACACCCTACTATTATGAAAGGGCAAATAACATGTAATGAACTTGCACCAGTTGTCCGGTGATTTAAAGAGTTCTTTTTTTTTTTTTTTTTCGCGCAAATTAGGGGAGATGTTTGTTTCAATCTCATATAAATAGATTTTCTCTACCTCCTACCTTTTATATAATTTTTTTTTTTTTTTCTTTTCTTATTGATATGTTTATGCCATCTTTGTCTACTGTCCTTAACCTTAGAACGAACAAATGTTACACTTAATTTCTCATGTCAATTTAAATTTCAATTACTCCTATCATCCATTTTAACATTCTCACTTTTGCTACATTAATTTGTTATTCTCATTTTTTTTTTTTTTTTATGTCTAACACTATCCATTTTACATTGTATTATATCCTCGTTTAGGATGTTTGTGAAAGCTGTGATTGTGTAGTGTTTGATATACTACAAAATTGTAGTAGAACATATGGCTTTCGTAATTGTTAAATGCTCTTCTCACGGACTGTATATTGTTACCTCTTCTTTCTAGTCTGTTTGTTGTAGCAAAATATATATATATACTACAAAATTGTGATTGTGTAGTGTTTCAAAACAAATTGTTATAAATATTGCATAAGCACAAATGAGTGAAGATTGTGCACAAAAGTAACTCAAAACATTATTTGCAATTAGGACAGTGACAAGTATTATCCATCTTAAAAATATTTATATGGCTACATATGCATCACAAACAAGAATGTAGTGTACAATTATATAAGCCAAAAATAATCTCTTGTACATTTGTTCATGAGTCAATTGAATTTAATTAGAATACGACTATTAATTGCCAACTTATTGCTGCCACAAAAGTGAAGCTATCAAAATTTAGACGAGAAAATGTTGCTGCTCCATCAGTCGGCTTCTCATAAACTTTCTAAACATGTTGATTGTCTGACAAATTGCATGTATACTCTTTTGGTAAAGTCTTTGGCAGATATGCTGAAATAACTTGCATCCCACTGTTGTCGACAAGAAGGCCCATGCGATGAACATGAACCAGCCGAGCCAGTTTGGAACGAAGACCGACACGAGTGAGACCGGAGACAGAACTCCACAGATGAGAATGACGTTTTTGCAGATCAGAGAGTAGCTTCCATGATGCTTTTGCACGTTTATCTTCACTAGCACGGCTGAGGCATACATGCATATGGCCGTCACGGAAGTTCCCATTTTTGCAGGATGTGCTTTGAAGGGAGAATCAATATCTTTGCCTTGAGCCTTCACTTGTAGTAGGCCTATCAGTGACTGAATCAAGAAGAAGTACACGGCGTGACATGCTGTTGATGAAATGAATCCTTGCTCCCTTGTATTATCACCAAACAGAAAATAAGATTACTAATACAATTACAATTTAAAATTATCACTATTGTATTTAGTGTCCTTCAAATTGGTAAAATGTTTGAGATAATAGACTAGACGGTATGTGTGAGCATACATATTCATTGAATTATGATAAAGAGTTCGACAGTCCGTCAATTTTATGATTTTCAAATAAAATCATAAATAGATTACAAGAAGTTTATATAGAATATAAGGGAAAGGAGAAAATTCAGGAGGGGCACGTGCCTCTGACCCTAACTCTCTCCGTTCCTAAGACACAGTGAGGAATTTGAACAAACCAACCAACCTTTGATGATTATGGTTACGATGATAACAGTCACAAGTAGTACTCCTGTTGGTATTTTTTGTTCTCTTCTTTTTCTTGGGCTTTGCCCTACCAACCTTGTTGTGGTTGCAAGCATCCACAAGCTCTATAACCTCAACTGAAGCACTCATTTGCTGCTTCTTGGTTGAGCTTAGATGTTAAACTAACCCACATTTTTATTCTCTATATGTACTAATTTATTCCTCTTTATAATCGAAGATGAATAGCGACATGTTGTTCAAAATGAGCTGTTTCGAGAGTGGATATACAGTTATGGTGTCTTAAACCTTGATCAAATCTCACACGACACACGACACACGACATATAACTTTTCGCCAATCCGGCACTTGTCCTCGACCCCAAACGACAAGGTTTTTGGCTGCATTCTGTGTCTTTAACGTGTAATGGGTTAAGGAATAAGGACACTTCTTCGACTTTTAGTTGCATATATATCCAATGTTTGATACACGGCTCTCATCTTAAAACCCAATATGCAAAACAAAAAAATCACACTTTGGAGAGCAACTTTTATTAGATTGTGAGATCAATTTTTTTTATATATATATTTTTATGAAAAATGTATGGTGATTTTTATTGACCGGGCTTATCAATTTATATGGCAAGTTTGGATTAATCAACAATCTCACCTAATACAAGTTCTAATTTATTCTATAAATATAATTAGGAAAATGATTCTTTTACCGAATAATTAGAATGAATTACTAAACTTACTTTTTTTATTGGTCAACTATATAACAAATAAGAAAATGGAATCCTCTACTTAGTTGTATTTGATATAAATAGCCAATTAAAAATTATTCTGTTAGGTAATTTACTGCAAGTGTTGTAAGTATCGCTAATATAATTCACGTATAAAATGGAAAGAATAGCCTTTTTAAGAAAGGCCAAGGCATGAATAATATTATGTGAAGAAATATTTAAAAAAATAAAATAAAATAACGAATTGGAATGACAAGAATTTATCTTAAATAAATGGTGAGTTGTATTAAGAAAGAAGCATAGGTAAAACTGACACAATATTGACACATTTATTTATTTGTCATACGTGATTGATTTGGAATTATCTAATAATTTTTCCACTCACATATGTTGTATATGAACATAAAACAAAGAGACATATTAATTTGTATTCATAAGAGTAGATTATTATATAACATTTGCAAGTAATTGAGCTTAGTGGGAGAGGGTCTTTTACCTAATTATGTTGTTTGAGCCTAATATTGGGAAGTCTGCAACTACTAACACTTGAGAGTACAATATAGTTTGTAGTTTACACTGAGTTCACTAAATTTTAACGACCACGATTAAATAAAAATAAGCTTATCGGAACTTCTGATCTTTACCTTAAAGCAATTCAATCACACTATTTTTTATTTTTTTTGCAAATTAAAATATAATAACCATGTTCACGATATATTTTTTATAAAAATTCTTACTAAACTTTCATTAGAGAAAGTATGATTGCAAGTGTGATACCATGCCTGTCACCAACCACTTATATTTTATCATATAAATAAAAATAAATCTATTTGGATAACTCTGGACTGGAATGATGTCATTGGCGCCAAATTGATGGAATCAGAGGGAATTTGAAACTTGTATTGGATTAAATGAAGAGAATAGAAGGTGGAGTGGTGAAAAAGGATAATTTTAATCAAATTTTTATCAGGAGGAGAATAGATGTAACAGTGGTTGAAGATGGCTGCAGCAACAGGCTGGATCTCCAAAACCCACTCCAACTCCGAGGACCCGGGCGAATAAACGGAGGATTCATTCATTGGAAGAATCGACCATCTTTTGCATTAGAAATACCGTCCAAGTACAGTGGGACCTTAATGAATCCCATATCACCACCCACTCCCTGACTTCCTTCAACCTTACTTCCAACTTCAGTTTCTCTCTCTCTCTCTCTCTATATATATATATATACACGCGCACACACTCTCTCTCTCTCTCCATATATATATATATATATATATATATATATATCTATCTGATCTTTCTTTCAACAATTAATCATTGGGGCGCATATATCATGTTTTATTCTCCTACCCATTCTTCCTTATTATTGCCCTTTTTTGGAACGGAACTATCATGCTAAAACCTGGTGAACTTGGTGAAACCTAAAATCTCAATTGTTGGTTTTGAAAATGATACAAAATTAGTTGCAATATTCAAAAAAGATACAAATATTCATGGTCAATATAAGCATAGATGGGCTTACAACTACAAATGCATCCGTCAAAGAAAGTAGGTTGTGGGTAATATAATTACATGAAATTTACTTAAACCCGAAGAGAGATTTTTGGTCTTAGCATCTAAGATTTAGAGAGAGAGAGGTTGAGAGGAGGGAGAAAGAGGAAAAGAAAGATGATAAATGACGTGTCTTAATATTAGTTTTTAAATTAATTTTGCACATAACAGATGTTCCAAGAAAATGATCCGTATACTGTACATTGTAATATAAATAATGTTTGGCATAAATGACAAGATAAAAGTCCAAATTGAAGTCAAGTTAATTAGTTGTCAAATTGCCAATCTTCACACTAAAATCTAATGTGAAACCAGCAATGCTAATATCGTACAGCAACACAATAATTGAAAAGAAAAATATATTGAGCTCAATATGCAAGAAAAACATAGGTTGCTCTTGGGAACACTGAATTTGTACTTTAAATTTAAAATTGAAGAAAATTTAATTTAAAAACCTTCACTCCCAAACACAGCAATAATTGATAATTACATCTTGGCTTACAAAATAGGTTCCTCTCGGGCCAGCATATTCAGAACAGGTTCAGGTTGTCCCCACACCGCTCGGACTAAAATGAATTTTGGGTTGATTTATTTTTTAAGCCCAAGCCAGGACCGAATTCTAAATAATATTGCCCAAGCTAAATTGTTTTTGGGTTGGGCTCCAA